ACTGGCCTAAGGGGTATTTTAAATTTGGTTTTTTAAATAACTTTTAAAAAAGGAAGAAAAGGCCCATATTAATATTTCTTTTTAACTACATTTTAAATTTTGTATATTGTATTGATTGTTTTGTTTTAAACTGGTTGTAAGCCACCCTGAGTCCACCAGGAGAAGGGCGGGGTATAAATGTAATAAATAAATAAATAAATAAAATAAATAAAAGGCAGGATAGGAGATGTTTTAAGGTAGTGTATAATGAGTGAAATAATAAAATATTGTACTTCATGCTCTTTTGGAGTTTTTTAAAAAAATAAGTAATTTTCTATTTGCTAGTGTTTCGATTCAGAATTTATTGAAGCAGATACAGATTTTATCACAATGAATAGAAAAAAGTGATAAATATAAAAATACATATATACTACAATTTCCTTTTGGAATACTGTTTGATTATTACTTCATTAATATATACAGGGAAACCCACATTTTTTATTCTTAGGAATCAATCAGTGACTTTTATTGGTACTATTCTGGCAAAGATATAATTGATGAATCTGGACAACATAACTTCTCTAAGGCATTGGCTGTAATCAAACAGATTTTTAATTCACTAACTGAATATATACAAGTAGGTAAAACCTTTCTCTTTGTTATATAATTTGCTAACATACATGAATGAATGAATGAATGAATGAATGAATGAATGAATGAATGAATGAATGAATGAATGAATGGCATGAATTGATGTATAGATGGCACGAATTGATGCCAGAGGTTTACTTTACTGGAATTAGTGGAATTTCATGATTATTATCATTTGTAAAATCATTTTTAAAAAAAATAAAGAATGAAGATAATATCTACAGGTGTATTATTTTCCCAGATATTTTTATACAGTTGGTAGGGGGGAAAGGAGAAAAGAAAACTGAGACTTTATGTCTCTTAAAACTATATATTTCCTTCTAAGCTAAAGAAATGGACAGGGATATAAAAAGAATTAATTCTTTGACACAGTTTTAATGAAAATTTCGGTTCAAGCAAATCCTCATTCATAGTATTTCGCCTGCAGAAAGTTATCTTAAAATACCTTCTCACCTTCTAATACTTGTACTCAATTTTATTTTGTTTCATGTTCTGTTTTTCCATTTATTTTGCTTATTGGATACCTTTGTTTATGGTTTTTGTGCTATGATCTAGTTTTATGGAAAAGCATCTCTTAGAAACTAGGTTTGGCCTTAAAACCAGATTTACAGAGGTTTTTACAGAGTAGTTTTGATGATATTCATAATATATTATCAAATTATTTTATGTGATGATTTTGTTACAATTCTTATTTATTATTACTATGTCTTGTGTTTTAGAGTGTTTTGCATCTTACTGTGATTACATTAAGCTTTATATTGTTCATTGTTACTAAATTGTCAGAGTCCCGAATAAATTGCGAGTATACAATCAATAAATAATACCATTCCTTACTGGGATAGATGCTTAAAAAGAGAGCTGAAAGCATTATTCTTTAATTTTAGGGGCCTTGCATTGGAAATCAGCAGAGTTTGGCTCACAGTAGACTGTGGGATGCAGTTGTTGGTTTTCTTCATGTTTTTGCTAACTTGCAAATGAAGCTTTCACAGGTAAATCATCTTTCCTGAAAATGTAAATCAGTTGATCAAGTATAAATATTTCATTTCATATTTCATAAACTAAAGTTTGTGAAGGTAGAAATAAGCATCATGCTTATGCCCACTTATTTTTCCCACCATTCTCCCACCACACAAACATATTTTGTATTTAGTGCTGTAATCCTGATTTGAATTCAAATCAGAGATGCTTGTTCCCCACCTGAAATGGGGAAGCTCAAGTTTGATCACTTAGAGCAGCGGTTCTCAACCTATGGGTCGTGACCCCATTTGGGGTCGATCGACCATTTCACAGAGGTCGCGAAGCAAGACTGTCCGCCATTTTTTCCCCCTTTTCCGGCGGGTGCCTTACCTCCCTTGAGCTGGGCCAGCTGGTGGTCAGCCTGCTCCGTCTCTGCCGCTTGCCAGCTACGCCTGGGCCGGCGCAGGGGGCGGAAACATGCATGCGCGGCACTCCCGGGCAGGGAAAGTCCTCGACTTACGACCGGTTGGGTAGTCCTCGACTTACGACCGGTTTAGTCCTCGACTTACGACCGGTTGGGGGTTGCGGCATTAAAATGGTTGAGAATCACTGAGTTAGAGAGTCAGGATTTCTGATTTAAGTGAACACAGGATTGAAGCACAACAAAGAGCACACTAGAACTGAAAAACGTAAGATTTCTGTTAGAAGGTTGATCAAAGACTGTTGTGATCCAGTATTATAGGTCACAGGTTGGCCAGCTAGATGCACTGAGAAAGCTCAGAAGTGTGCGTAGAAGACAAATCAGTTTCTACTACAGTTGCTCCCTAACAACTCGTATTTAAGGTTGTTGCTTCTGATTCAAGAGGTAGTATATGGTTAATAAGATTAGCAGCAATTGATGATCTGATTCTTCATCTATATTCTTTCTTTCAACACACTGATGTTCTTAATCTCATAGCTTAATGTACTTTGTATAGAAAAAGAAAAATCTACTAGCACAAGATATTTCTTACAACATGTGTAATTTACCTGACAATGTCCACTACATTACCCTATGTATTTATTCTAACATCAAGAGTACTTCCTACTTGTCTTAGGAAATGTCCCTTTGATGTTTTTTGAGAAGTCATAAGTTTTAAAAAATGGCATAGATCCATTTCCTTCCAGAGATTCACAGAATAATTTCCTCTCAATAAAAGACAGTTTTTCCTATTCCTATTTCTCTTTCTACCCTTCTTAATAGGTCCTATAGTGTTCTGGATGATTGTCTAATCCTCTGGGGCAGATTTCACGGACACAAAGACATTATGGGAAAGAACAAACTAGATAATGAGATAATGCTTTAATCTTGAAAGTGACATCTTGTTCATGGGGTATCTTAATATAATTCAGTCACTGTAATCTTTTAGTGTTATTGTCTAGTGTTATTCCAATTATCCTTTTACCTGGCATAATAGCTCAGTGATCTGCTGCACATATTTATAAAATTTCTACCATCTCTTTTGGTTCCAAAGTGCCTTCTTTGCAGTTGATCTCAGATTCAGTCCCTAGGGTCTTTAGTTAAAAGGAAACAGCTGCTATGAAAGATTGCTGCTTGACACTCTGGAGTTGGTAGATTACCATGTATTCTCAATGGAATAGATAAGGTAGCTTGGATAGCATTTTCTGCACTTAAGCATTCTGCCAGACACACATAGCTCATTGGTTCCAATCATATAAAACACAATCATGGTAAATTGAGATTATGTTTAGATGATTTTAAAAGTAAATGTTAACTTTATTTGTATCCTAGGATTCCAGCCAAATTGAACTGCTAAAGGAGTTACTGGATCTTCTAAAGGATATGGTGGTGATGATGTTGTCACTACTTGAAGGTTGAATCTTTTTTAAAGTGCTATTCCTTCCATTGTTATAGGTTACAATAAAATTAATTTGAAAAATAATTCTCAATTTAAGCTGTATTATATCTACAACAGTAATGCTGCCTTGTAATTTCAAAAAGAAATTGGACTAGATTTAAACACATAATGTAGTTGAACAGTGGTTGCAAAACTGATTTAAAGCAACATTATAAAACTGAAAATAATTATAATCTTTTCTAAAGATGATTATAGAATAAACATTATAGATGCATTTCAACTAAATAATGTTTACATTTGTGATTTAGGTAACATTGTAAATGGCACAATTGGAAAACAGATGGTAGATACACTTGTCGAGTCATCTAGCAATGTAGAAATGATTTTGAAGTTCTTTGACATGTTTCTCAAGCTGAAAGATTTAACAAGCTCAGAAGCCTTCAAAGAGTATGATTCGGAAGGAAAAGGAATAATCTCAAAGAAGGAGTTTCAAAAAGCCATGGAAGGTCAGAAGCAATATACACAATCAGAAATTGACTTTCTGCTGTCATGTGCAGAAACTGATGAAAATGACATGTTTAACTATGTTCATTTTGTTGAAAGATTTCACAAGCCAGCCAAAGATATCGGGTTTAATGTGGCAGTGCTCCTAACAAATCTCTCAGAACACATGCCAAATGATCCACGCCTTCAAACTTTATTACATCCAGCAGAAAGTGTCCTTAATTATTTTGAACCCTATTTGGGACGCATTGAGATCATGGGTAGTGCCAAGAAGATAGAACGAGTTTATTTTGAGATTAGTGAATCCAGTAGGACACAGTGGGAAAAGCCCCAAGTGAAAGAATCAAAGAGGCAGTTTATTTTTGATGTTGTAAATGAAGGTGGAGAGCAAGAAAAAATGGAGCTTTTTGTCAATTTCTGTGAGGACACCATTTTTGAAATGCAGTTGGCATCTCAGATCTCTGAAACTGATACAGTTGACAGAATTGAGGAGGAGGAAGAGAATGAAGTTTGCTATCTGAGGGAGGTTGGAAAAGACGAGAAAGAAGAACAATCTTTTGAATCAGCTTCAGCATTTGCCATGGCATGTGATGCAGTAAAGAAATATGCTGCCACAATACTCAAGAAAATTAGACTGAAAAATTTAAGGAAACAGTATAGAAAAGTGAAAAAAATAACCTTTAAAGAACTGGTGAAAGTGTCCTTTTCTTCTCTTTGGATGCTATTTATAGGAGTTTTCCAATTTTTTTTCGCTATAATATGGAGTGTTTTTCAGATTCTTTGGAGTACTGTGTTTGGCGATGGTCTAGTTGAAGGGGCCAAAAATATAAGAGTTACCAAAATTCTAGGAGACATGCCTCATCCAACACAGTTTGGAATTCATGACGATGTGCTCGAAGCAGAAAAAGTGGAAGTTTTGGAACATGGCATTGCAGCTGAAATTGTGCAGTTTGTAAAAAAAGAAAAAGGAGAAACTGACATCTTATCAGATATTTTTGATATTTATTCAAAAAAAGAAAGTGGATCAAAACATGGTCATGATATTGGCCTTGGGGACATTGCTAGTGTTATTGGATCAGAAACACCCCCTTCTTTGGAAAGCGCAGTTCGTAAGAAGAAGAAAATTCAGGTAGGTAAAAGAATGCATGTGCTGTATATTTTATATATACAGGAAGTTTTTCAGACAGACCGGTCTGATTGATTACACCTTGACATTTTTAACTGCTATACTGCAGTTTTACTTTTTACAATATCTTTTGCCTTGCAGCCCCAACAACTAGGGGCGTTAAGCAGGCTCAAGTCGCAACTGCGAAACATTTTAAATCCAAATTTCTTTTTCTGACAAAGAGTTAAAGAATTAAATTGGGAGACTAAGATGGCCATCTTAGTCTCCCAATTTAATTCTTTAACTCTTTGTCAGAAAAAGAAATTTGGATATATATATTTTTAATCTAATTGGTGGATTAAAATGAGAATTCTATAAAGTCTAATAAAGTATTTGTGAGAGACAGTTTGATATATTATGATGCATTAAAAGACCGTAGAAGCTATGCTGAGATATATTTTAAAGGTCTTAAATCTTTTAAAGTTTTAAACATTCATTCAGTAAAATTCATGTTTCTATATAATGGTACAAATAATGGTGTTATTTTCCTCCTTGGGTAGCTTCTTGGTGTATTACTATCATTGGTGATAGTCACTTCAAAATATTCAATCCCTTGTCTCTGGTGTTGCCTTTACTGCTACTGCTATTACTGCTGCTACTATATTCCACTCTTCTGGAAAGAAAGGTTTATCTGAAATGGCTTGTATTTCTTTATATTTCTTGCATGGGCAGCCCATGGCCTTAATGTGGTCATGCAGCATCCCAGCATGACATCACTTAAATTCAGAAACCAAACTGACAACTTTTCAGCAGCACAATATTTTTTGCTTAAGGGTAGGATAGAGAGCAGGATGCCATTAGTTCTCACGCTGATAAGAAATCTAGTAGTCATCTTCAAACAATCTACAGATATAGACTGTCCTGCCTTCAAAAAGAGATAATTGTCCTCCACTGTACATCAGGAAAATCACAAGAAAAAGAGCCAGAATTTTACTAATTTTGCTTTCTTGTCTGAACTTAAAATACTCATTGGAAATCTTATGGTAGAATTTTCAGCTTATTTCTAATTAGGATTATTAATCAGAGCTCGATAGACACATATTCTTTAGTTTAGAGCAATCATTTTTGATCCTGGTTGCTACAAAAGAAGTCTAAGAAGGAACTAAGTAGCTTCCATTGTCTTTTTTGGCCTCTAATCTTTGGAAGAGGACATTAGCAGGATCTACGATCTGACTTACGGTGGCAATTTACAACTGGAAATAATCAGCCTACAAATCATACTGCACCCCAAATTAACAGAGAGTTTCCAGGTGGTTCATGTTAATGTTAAAAATTCATCATAGAATAACAAAGCCTACTGCATTCCATAAAAGAACGCCCACCTGGCTGACCTCTCCATCCCCACCCAAATGCCTGAAACCATCCAATAAAGGAGAGTGCAAGGTTACAAGATATTGTTGGAATCAGGGATTAGACCATGACAGTGAAGGTGAATATATACCATCGGAGAGAGGTAAATATACTGGGTAAAGCTCTAGAAAATATTGTGAATTTAATTAATTAATTAATTAATTAATTAATTGCTATAGTCCCCCATCTTTGCAAACAACTCTGGGCAGCTCACAATTCAAAAACATATATATCATTAAAATCTTTAAAACATTTTAAAAACAATAAAAACAGTACAAACGGTTTAAACAATAAAAAACATTAAAATGTCTAATTTGAATACAGACAAAGCAAATCATCTGGCCTGTTAACAATATAGCCAGGAGGCAGGGGCCCTGGCGCATGTTGCGCCCCAGGCGTGGGAGGATAGACAGGTTTTAAAACTTTATGGAAGGCTAACAGGGTGGGGCCATTCTAATCTTTGAAGGGAGGAGGTTCCCTAGAGCAGGGGCTGCTGCAGAAAAAGCTCATCTTCTACTCCCTGTCTTCCTCATGCCAAGCGACTTTCATAAAAATCGAAAGATTAAATTCCTGGGCGATTTAATTGCCTTGGCTTGGAAAGCGACTTGGCAAAGAAAGAAAGCGAGAGTTAGATTTAAAAAATAGAAGATTTGACCTATTAGAGGGGGCATCATATGTTTAAGTACTTGTTTGAATATAGTTAAAGGAATGGATGATCTTTAGATATATTTAGACTTTTATAATGAAATATATGATTTAGAATTAAAATAGCATTTTTTTCTTCTTTTGATATGGGAAATATGAAAATAAGAGGAGGATTTGAGCTATATAAATTAATATTGAGAAAATCATAACTGACAAAAATACTTTGAATATTGATGGGAAATCAAACTTTAACAAGAGCACGAAAAACAGGATATTGATTTATGAATTGATATTATTGTTATTTGTATAATATTAATAAAATATGATGAAGTTGTTTATAGGTATCTAACTTTGTATACATCAGTAGTACCAAGAATTGTAATTCTGTAATGAGGGAAAAAAGGGAAAAAGTATGGGGAAGAAAGGAGGAACAGGGAAAAAATACTGTATTGTGCAGTACTGAATAGATTTGTATTGAAGAAGTTAATGTTAAATATGTGAACTCAGACAACGTGTTGTTTACTAAGCTCTAAAGATTGTAATTCTTAACAATTAATAAAACTTTTAATAAATAATAATAAACTTTATGGAAGGCTAACAGGGTGGGGGCCATTCTAAGTTCCCTAGAGCAGGGGCTGCTGCAGAAAAAGCCCATCTTCTACTCCCCGTCAGCCAATGTTCTTTGGCTGATGGGATCTGCAGCAAGCCCATCCCCATTTGATCTGTTTGGACAGATAGAAACTCTGGAAAAAAGGTGATCCCTCGTGTACAGCTTTTTGCACACAAATAATTTCAGCCAAACATTCATCAGCATGATTTTAATTAAATGAAACATTCATAATTAATTGGATAATTTTGAAAGGAAATTTCATAATATTAAAATTCTGTATATTTTCAAAAAATTTCAGCTACCTGAACTTACAAGGGATGATGATTCAGAAACAAGAACAGAATCTGAGAAGGCTGAGTAAGCTATATGTAGTTAAATACTGTTGCCGTGGGTTTTTTTTTATGTTAGAAAATGTGGTTGAAGAAACTTCATGAATATTTTGAATATTGTAACAATCTTACAATGCAACAGTCAACTTTTTCCTCCATATTTTAAGTCCAGTTAATTCTAATGGAGCTGATGGACAGAAACTTTATTTTGGTCATTCATCAATAAAAATACATTGAATAAAACAAACAAAGCAAAGTTAACCCTTAACGTCAATGCAACAGTTGTGAGGGAAGCTTACCATAATATAGCTTTTAGAGCAGGGGTCTTCAAACTTGGCCCTTTTATGACTTGTGGACTTCAATTCCCAGAATTCCTCAGCCAGCATGCCTGGCTGAGGAATTCTGGGAGTTGAAGCCCACAAGTCATAAAAGGGTCAGGTTTGAAGACCCCTGTTTTAGAGAGAAAGCTTTATTGTGGCTATTTAATAAATAATACAAATAACAATTTTTGAAATGTCTCAAAAATTGGATTAAAAAAAGGGTAATCAGCTTATGGCAAATGCCTTGTAGAACTAGCAGTACAAAAGAACCTGGGTTTGGTTTCAATGACACCTTTGTTGTAGTGTAGCTTTCTAACAAAATTCTTGAAAACCAAAGCAAATCTTTTTGTTAATAATAGAGATAGTTTATGGAATTGCCTGAAAATTTAATCCAAAGAGCAACCCCCCCCCCCTTATTTACAGATAGTCTCTGATCTACAACCACAATTGGGACTGGAAAATATAATGTGATTGTTAAGTGAAGCATTGTGTGACTGCACCCAATTTTGCAACCTTTTTTTGCTGAGGTCGTTAAGTGAGACAGACGTGTTCATGATTTGTAATTTTTACTGCCCCTGTTCACTTTTCATGTCAGAAGCTCTTTGCAAAGGTAACAAATGGCAATTGTGTGACCCCAGGATGGAGCAGCAGACATAAACGGGAGCCACTTATGCTAAGCATCTGGACTGCAGTCACATGACCGCAGAAATGCTACAGTGGTTTTAAATATGTTGTGAATCACTTTTTTCAGAGCAATTGTAACTTCTAATGATTGCTAAAAAAAATGGCCGTAAGTCGATGACTACCTGTATGGTTTTGTTCACATTTGTACTCCTTTTTTAGTTATATCAACCTAATAATTTGTCTTTTTGAATAGAAAAATATCTATCTATATATTATATTTAAAATTATCTATCTGTCCTTACATTATAAATGCATTTATACTTACTCTCAAATGATATAATAGTTAAACTGTTATGCAACTGCTGTTTCACCATATATGTGTGTACACAATTCCCTTGACTGTCATTGGCAAGATTACAAGTATTAAGAGGCAAAATTTCAAAGTCAAGGAAGTAATAAAATATGATCTGTTTCCACTGTAGTTTGAAAACTGATTACACATTTGATCACTATTTTTCCACATTTTCAATTGTTATCATCTGTTAAGCTATTGTTTATGAAGTATTAGCCCAGAGAAATTCTTATGCCTTGCAATCTCTGCAACTGCGGAATGTAGACCAGGGGAATATATTAAAAGGCACCTTCATGCACAACAAACATCTGATTGGAAATTTTAATGCGATAAGTGTCCTAATACAGAGAAAATTGGCAATTAAAAACTGATCCTGGCCAATCTTATCCTACTAATTTGTATTTTCCATGTAATATGCAATTAAAATGTTATTATTATGCAGTTTTTGTACTTCTCTAAATTTTATTTGCCTTGCCAACTGAAAAGATTAAACAGAGAAAATTGCTAGAATACATGCATTCATTAACATTTGTATATAAAGTGCTTTTTGGGAAATTACAGAAATTCATATATTTATATTGAAAGATGCACGTCTTCAAATTCATCTATCCTAAATGTATACCTTTTAATTAACTTTATATAATGTCTGATTTTCCATGGTTTACATCTGGGCTTTGTAAAAATCTAATTTATAACATGTCATTCCCTATAGCATGGAGGATGGTGAAAAACATGATAAAATAAAGGATGATGTATATTCTGAATACTTGGAAGCTGAAGAACCTAAGAAGAGAAAACGACATGGACAGAAGTTAGAGAAGCCAGAAGCGGTTATGGCTAATTTTTTTAAAGTACTGGAGATTTATCAGACAAAAGTTTTGGTATGTTGAATCTGTTTTAAATAATAGCATTTTAAAATTAAAAGAGGGTGTGAGGGTTCAGTCTTTAAAGTTGCTGAGCTTGTCAGCTGGAAAGCTGACAGGCCAGGTTCAAGACACAAGTGCCACATGAAGGGGTGAGCTCCTGCTACTTGCCTCATCTCCTGGCAACTAGCAGCTCAACCATGCAAATGCAAGTAGATAAATAGGTACCAGTTTGGTGGGAAAGTAATAGTGTTCCATGCACCCTGACCTCCAGTCATGTTGGTCACATGACCACGGATGTGCCTTCAGACAATGCTGGCTAAGAAATGGAGGGGAACACCACCCCCTAGAGCCAAATATGACTGGACAGGGGAAACCTTTATTTTTACCTTTATTTTAAACTTAAAATAACAACTGCGATCTGTATGGCCTTTTGTAACAGAGATTGAAAAAGGGGAAGCAAAATTTGATATGAAATATAATTAATTTTAATATAATCAATTTAACTGAAACAAATAAAGTTTGAAAGATTATATAGATTTCCTTATAATATTTTTGGTCTGAACCTTCTTTATGAACTAATTACATTCTTTATCTTGTTTTTTATACAGCACTATTTGGCAAGAAATTTTTACAATTTAAGATTTCTTGCACTTTTTGTTGCCTTTGCTATCAATTTTATTCTGCTCTTTTACAAGGTAATGTCAATATATCTATTCTATGTATGGTATCTAAATTTCCAGAGTGATATTTACAACATTGAAAATCTTAGCTAATGATTACTATCAATTAGATAATGGAAGTGAACATAGTATTATAGCTCAAATAGTGTTATATTCCATAAATAGTTCCATCTATTTGCAGAGAATTAGGCTCCGAAGAAGCAGAAGAACAATTGGTAATACTTTCTTAAATTCTTTCTTCTCTCTGCAAACTCCAACATCAATTTATAAGCTGTTCTGAAATGTCCTTCAAGAACTTGGAAAGTCATTCTGCGGGTTTCAAGGGCCAGGGAAGATAAAAAACATTTTTTCCCCTTCTTTCCACCACCTATATAGAATCTATTTCCATATCCTTCAGTAAATTATTAATTCAATTAAATCTCCAAAAGATGAAAAATCTTAGTTGCGTATTTTTATGTTATTATTGGTTTCTATTCTAGTATTTTATACCTCAGTAATAATGTTTTACAATTTAGAGTATTCAATGTGCTTCATACATACTATTTTTGTTATAGGACTTACAGTCTGGTAGAATAGGACAATTCTGTTGTCACCTTGGTTGTTTTCTTTAAGACAATTATAATATTTTAAATTTTCATCCACTAATTAATACAACAATATAGTCCGCTTGCAATAAGAAGCCTCATAGCAAGCCATTTGATTTGCGATCACACTAATCCACCGATTTTATAAATTGTATCATGTTTTCTTGATCTAGCTAGACTAAATCAATATAGCTTATGCAACAGCTTGCATGTACATATTTGAATAATTTATGCTGTGTTTAAAGTAGTATCTTACATATTTTTATGACTTTGTGAAGCATTGTCTAGGAATTTGTTGTTTTATAACCATAAGAAGAATGTGTGTATGTGCGAATGACAGGTGACAGAAGAACCATTTGAAGAAATGGAAGAAGATTCTGATTTATGGCAATCTTTAGATGAAGATGAGGATGAAGAAGGAATGGTGTTCTTTGTCTTACAAGAGAGCACAGGCTACATGGCACCTACACTTAGGGCACTAGCTGTTATTCATACTATTATTTCTTTCCTATGTGTAATTGGATACTATTGTTTGAAGGTTAGTCATTTCCTTTATCTTGATGTAGCCATTAATCCAAGTTGCTTTCTTGTCATATTACTATTTTATAAAGAGACACTTATTTCCTCATTTTTCCATCAAGTCACTTGGCTACCATTTATCTAGATTGGACAGTATTAGATAATTTGGCAAAATCATGTTTGCCAGCCTCCCAGATGGTTGCAGGATGGTCTGGTACAGTGAGAAGAGTTGATTTTTTTCTTTAACCTTTTCTTTTTGGAACACTGAGAATAAGAATGGGAAAGATTCTGAGAGATAAACTTTACCCTTAAAACCATCCCAGAGACCCCCAATCTCAGAAATTATGGAATGAAATCCAGGATTGAAGAACAATGAGGATCATAAAGAAAATTAAAAGACAGAACTAAAGACCAAGTCAGCAAAATCACAAATACAAGATAGATTGACGCATGGGTAGATTCTATATCTTAAATAACGCTAGTGTGTCAGGCAGTCATAGGCAGCAGCTTAGCAAGAACTAAGTTCAAACAGCTATCGGAACCCAAATATAAATTAGAAGATAGGAATCAAAAAACAAACCAGAACTCAATACAATGAACAAATCCAGAAATGCCACTCAAATTAGACTTAAGTTATATCCTGTTATTAGAACAAGAGTCATCTGGAACAGGATGGTTTTTATATTACTTCCTGCCCAGATTCAGCTAATACTAAAAAAAAAAGTATACTGAAGAAGGGAAGTGAAAGTCAATGTACAAATCCCTGGGCACAGCACTAATTTATACATGCAAGCAAATTTTTGCTTAGGATTTTACAAGGAAGGTTAATGCCATATGTGTGGAGAAAAATTCCAAATGAACAGGTAGAAAATACAGATGGGCATGAGATCAGACAACTAGTATAAGGTCCTTCAGAAGTTATGTGCTCCATCACTGGAGGTTTTTAAGAAAAAATTGGAAATTTGTCTGAAATGGTATAGGGTCTTCTGCTTGAGCAGGAGGTTGGACTAGAAGACTTCTAAGGTCCCTTCCAACTTTGTTATTCTGTACTTCTAGAACAGACATGTCAAACTCGTGATGTCATTTTAAACAGAATAGAACTCTTTTTATCTACAAATAGGGTTGATTTATGTGGTGGATCTGTGAACTGTGGAATGAGAGTGGCTTTAACTTTAAGATTATTTTGATCTATAATTAACAAACTATATCTGGATCTGATGTCATGTGACGTCGTGCAACGTATCGGGACAGTTTTGCCATTGCCAGCAATGGGGTGGGTGCGGCTTCTGCATGATGCGTCCGGCCCATGGGCCGGCAGTTTGACACCCCTATTCTAGAACAAGAGAATCTGAGAGAGGGATTTATCAGAGGTTACAGGGTTTCCCTGGTAGTATGCAGCTATTTACTTATATTCATTTATTCCTGGAGGAAATCTGTGTGGTCACTAAGAGATGACACCTGCTTGATGACACATAATCAATCAATATTGATTTATATAGCCAGTAATTTCACTAATGGCAACTTTGGGCAATGAGTAAATAAAAAAGTAGCAAAAAGTACAAAATAATACAACACAACCATAATGGCATCTGAAGGCAATCTAACCAAATCAATATAGTAATAGTTATAATCAGGGCTTTTTTTCTCGGAGAAAAGGTGGCGGAACTCAAACCTGGCCACGCCCTCATCAAACCCTAGGACCGCCCCTTTAGAGAACAGGAATGCAAGTAAAATTTGGGAGGGGCTATTTCCGGTGCGGCCGGCCCGGAAAAAGGTGCCGGAACGCGGTTCCGCCGCGTTCCGGCTGAAAAAAAGCCCTGGTTATAATAATAATAAGAAAATCACATTGACAAACTCACCCAACCTATGATAGGTGAACATTGAGAAAGAGGGAATGGAAAAAGAGCCCCTCAAATTATGGATTTGGAGATGGTTATTAAAAGTAACATGGATTGCAAATAGTACTGATAAATCTAAAGGCTGAAGCAAATAAAATGGACTGTTTCCTTTGAGTGATTATTAGCAAGCAGAAACTCGCATATCTGGGTACATGATTCAAATGAATGATGGATTTCTAAAAAAGACTGCTTGGGAAGTAAAAGTAAACAAAGACAATAGAGCAGGTAAATGAATAAGATCAAAGAAATTACTGGAGTGTTCTTAAAAGAGCTGCAGATCCTGGGAACAATGTGAAGTTTTTTTTATATAATCAGAAGGCCCAGGCCTGATTTGATGATATCTTAATAACGCACATGGATTTTATATGCATAGATTTCAGTTAACATTAAGGATTGTATAGAAAAAAGTACTGGATACTGAAAAAAGTATCCAAGTCTTAACTCATATTTCATCTTTTATATACCTTATGCATTCTTATTTCATTGTACAATTCATGTTAAGTGAAAGATCCTTCTGTTATTTTATTATGTTATAAACAGGATTAGATCCAGATGTACTTATTAATAATTTAAAACCTATTGATCAATAGATACATTTCACTAATCCTGAATCCAATTCAATTTATAGATCAAATAGCACCTATTATTTATATTATTGATTATCAGATGATTGTACATATAGTCAGTTAAAAGTGTAACAGCGCTTTGCAAATAACAATATATTTGTTATAATAATTCACTTTATCTATGTTTTGAAAAGCAGACTATTTAAAGTAAAATTCAGTAATTCTATAACTGTTCAGTCAGCTCCAAGACATTATAAAATATTTACCTTCATTTCAAAATTTGACATCATTAAAATGCTTCAAAATATCTTTCCTTAAAGGTTCCCTTGGTTGTATTCAAACGTGAAAAAGACATTGCTAGGAAGCTAGAATTTGATGGTCTATATATTACTGAACAACCATCTGAAGATGATATTAAAGGACAGTGGGATCGTTTAGTCATAAACACTCCGTAAGTGCCATATTGTATATTGAATTCCAATAGGATTTTACTAAGGCTTATTTTGACAGTGTACCCAACATAATTCTGTACAGCAGAGGTCCCCAACCTTAAGTTGAGTACCGGGGACCGGTTCCATGGAAAAAGGCTTTTCCATGGACCGGAGAGTGCGTGATTTTGTGTGCTGCCTGCATCCCAAGGATGGGGCTTTGCTTGTTTGTGCGGACCGGTTGCTGGCATGCCGCAGCCCAATACCGGTCCACGGACTGGGGTTTGGGAACTCTGGCTGTACAGGTAAAATTATATTTTATATACAGTATGATACAAATCCCAATTTCTGTTGATATAGGCACTGACCATCTTTCTATATAATTCGTGTAAACCAGGGGTCTTCAAACATGGCCCTTTTATGACTTGTGGACTTCAACTCCCAGAATTCCTCAGTCAGCATGCCTGGCTGAAGAATTCTGGGAGTTGAAGTCCACAAGTCATAAAAGGGCCAAGTTTGAAGACCCCTGGTATAAACAAAATGTGTGTGTAGCAGCAAGTTACTAGAATTCTGCTTCCCAGAGACCAGAGGATACTACTCATCTGATATAATACAAGATAACCTTATATGTTCATTAGTTGCAACAATGATATTTCTTCTATATTTTGGTAGTAATTATTATTGCTGTCCTTGATTGTCAGTCAGGAAGCAAGAATGTGGAATATGCTCTTTTATTTTTGCCCACATGGAAAATGTTTAAGGATGCTCCTTATTATCTCTTCACTTCAATGACTGACTAGAGAAGCAACCCAGAACCACCACGATGATATGAAGGGGCCATAAAGATTGAAATAAATAAGTATTAGTGTTGTTCCAATGTAATCTTTTCTTAAGCAGACAAATTACTCCACTCTTTGGGACGGTTTGGTCTGACAAGATCTGAACCAAATGCTGGTTTGTTAGTAATAATGCATAGATATAAGCTTTTTCTGCTGTTCAACCCCTTATGGCACACAGGCAGGAGAAAAAGGAGAAATAATTGAATATTGCTTGTGTAGTATTTCCATATTACATTGTTGGATTTATTTTTAATGGCCTTTATACCTATTTTGATAAATATATACTTAACAGAAAGTTGTAATTTTGAATTGCTGCCTCTGAGTCTCTAGTATTTTCAGAGAGAAGTTTGACATGCTTCTTGTTTTGTAAAGCTTGAGATAAGTAGGAGTTTTTTGGTCTAATTTTTATTTAACTACTGGCTGTATACTGAATAATAATGCCTGTTGAATGTTATTTAGAGCTTAGGAAAGAATGCAAATCTGACTGTGGGATTAGTATTAGTATTTATTAGCATTAATATTAGTATTTCTCCTCCAAGTTCAGAAAAAATCTCAGAAAAGAACCAATCTCAGGAGCTTCCTGTTACAAAGGTTTGCAAGCATAATAAAGTAGAATTATTATTATTAGTCAGCAGTCCTTTGTTTTTATCTCTTTTTCTGCTGCTCGCTTCATTGTGGATGAATTTTACTACTTCTACAAATAGTGCTGGAAGCAGGGCTTGCCCCTCACACAGTTGTAGTCATATATTTATCATATACCTCAGGATAATTCACATTCCTTTACCACTTGTTTTACAAAAATCTTATTCAGAACTGAAGTGTAAACAAATAATGTTTTATACAGTACACAGTCCTCATTGCGAAAACACCTTGTTTCTGTGTGAACAGAAATTTGTGAATGAAGTTAAATGAATACAATGAAAGTAATGCATTAAAAGATGAATTATGTTTCAGGGAAGAATTTAAGTTTTCATCATACTTATCAATGGCTGTAGATATTCATAAATGTTTTACTTTTAATACTAAGATGCTTCTTATCTTTAAGGATATTTTTTTAAAAAAATTAAAGCCAGTAACACTGTCTCAATAAAACCTGATGAATAAAGAGAAAACCACTGAAGAAGAAAAAACAGTTTATTGTAAATTTTATTTCTTCAGAAACATATAAGTATATAATCAACTATCAATCTAATGTATAAGAATGTTTAGACATATATACTTTTGTAGACTAGTATCTATTTCTTTAGATACATAGATAAATAATTTGAGAGAGAGAGAGAAAAATGTTTGTGACCACAGAGAGGGGAAATGATAAAAATAAATGGGGGAGATTTAGAGGTACTGAAAGGAAATTGTTCCTATGATGCCATCGTTCTCTTGAGCTTTTTGCCCTGCCTGAAAGAAACTTTATTCTAGAGCTTGTGTGAACATAACATCTGAATAATGTAAACTAAAATAATAAAGCACCAAGTACTGACGATGGAGTTGTGGATTTTCTTGTGAGTTTTTTTGTGTGTCTGCGTAGGAGGGGTGTTATTATTGGGTCTTCTTGTATTGGTTTTTTTGTTTGTTTTATTAAATTTGAATACTTATTTTGTGTTTGTACAGATCTTTTCCAAATAATTATTGGGACAAGTTTGTGAAACGAAAGGTAGGTTCCTTAAGTATCTCTTTTTTTTTTCCAAAATAAAAATATTAAATAAAGTACAGTAATCCATGTTTGATAATAATAGGTGTATATTGGATTGGCCTAAGATGTTACAGCAGAGCATTAGGAACATATATACTTCAAAAACTATGTCTGCATACTCCTCTCAATGGTGATTGTTTTTATTTTTAGGATTTCATTATGTTTGATTGCTGTTACTGGGAAGAATTTTTTCCCACTTTCAGTCTTCCCCTCCTTTGTGTGAAAAAGCAGCCTTTGAAAGAGCATCAACTTTGAAATGCAAAAGTTTTTTTAAAACTTAGTGAGAACTGCTTGAATTAAAACATGATATTTTATATATATTTTTTCTTGAAGGTAATCAATAAGTATGGTGATTTATATGGAGCAGAGCGCATTGCAGAACTCTTAGGTCTGGACAAAAATGCTCTGGATTTTAGTCCAGTGGAACATACTGAACCAGACGAAGCATCTTTTGTTTCATGGTATTGTTGGCCTTTACATTTAATAAACTGAAATGTATTAAAATAATACAACTGATTTTTTTTATTTTATTTTTTTATTTTTATGTGCATGGACAGTTTTGTGATGGAAATCTGAAGTCTTAGCAATCCGATCCTATGCATAGAGAGTTTGTGTTTGTGCCCAACCAGGTATCACCGAGACCTGGTTGGGCATGGAAGGGGGAGTTCCCCTTGTTGATCTATGCCCACCGGGTTTCCAGGCATTCCATCAACCGAGGGCCCGGGGTAGGGGCGGGGGGGTAGCGGTCATTATAAGGGAGAGCCTGTGTCCAAGGGAGGCCACTGTGCCTCAGATAGACGGTGCAGAGTCCCTCCTTGTGAAGTG